CAACAATTTTCTGCGCAAAGTGGTGCGTTATCTGACAGAAATGCCGGGGTGCAAATATTTTTGGCCATGACTGTATAACCACTTTTGTTGAGTTTTTCAAAAAAGAAACCCTTTCCACTGATCCCCAAGTGACTCATAGCGGAGCCCAGGAACCCACACAGGTCGCAGTTCATCTAAAAGTATTCAAAGGCAGCCGGACACAATCATCTGATTATACTGAATGGCTAAACAAGATTGTATTAGGTATTATTGGAAACTACCATGCCAAGGTTTATATAATTTGCTCACAATATTAACACAACAAAGACTATAAGAAGCAGAGGGGAACTCACAGATATAGGAAGCAGACACAAATACTGCACTGACAGGCATTTACAGATTTATATTAATAGGTAGTAAAGTCACTCTCTGAACTAACAAACACGCCACAAAAGGTTACAGATTGTTCAAACACAGGCAGAAAAAGCAACACTCGGACGACATACGCATACAATGTGATCCGGGCTTGTACACTACGAAAGTAACTGCGGGAATGCAATTATACTTACACACGATGTATTCTTTACCAGGTGAACACCATGGAAGGAACAAAACAAAACAATAAAACAAAATAGAAGGAAGAAAATGAAATGGAAAGAAAGCTGGTCAAGGTCTGACCAGACAACAGAGAAATAAGCAGAAGCCATCTGATGACAATAGAGAACATGACCGATGGAAAAAACAACAAGAAATGTAACAACTAATCAGAAATTGCTTGTAACCAAAATGAACCTATAAGATGGTTTATGGAAGATTGGTCTACATTACGGCATGTAATACCACACAGTTCCCAAAGCTCCAAATGATACGCCAATTTTAACAGAATGTCCATGAACAAATGCCTGCGCAGCTGGGGAGGATAAACATATGGAGGAGGAGGAAGGCTAGGTGAAAAAGGGACGAAGTTATGAAGGAGCATGCAGTTATGAAGAAGAAAGTTTAAGTGATGGAGGGATAAAGTTATGGAGGGGAACGGGGAGTTGAGAGAAGGATGAAGTTAAGCAGAGGGAAAAAAAAGGTGAGAGAGGGATACAGTTATTTGAAAAGAAGAAGTAGGTGAGAGAGGAATTAAGTTATGGAAAAGGAAGGCAAGGTGAGAATGGGATGAAATTTTGGAGGAGGAAGAGGTAGCAAGAGTGAAGACGTTATGGATGAGCAAGGGAAGGTGAGAGAGGAATAAAGTTATTATGATGGAAGAAGAATGGGTGATAAGGATGATGTTTATGTAAGAGGAAGAGGTGGTGAGAGAGGGACGAAATCAAGGAGGAGGAAGAGGTGGTGAGAGAGGGATGAAATTATGGAGGAAGAGGAGGTGAGAGAGGGATGAAGTTATGGGGGAGGTAGAGGAGGTGAGAGAGGGATGGAATTATGGAGGAAGAGGAGGTGAGAGAGGGATGAAGTTATGAAGGAGGAAGTGGAGGTGAGAGAGGGATGAAATCATGGAGGAAGAGGAGGTGAGAGAGGGATAAAGTTATGGGGGAGGTAGAGGAGGTGAGAGAGGGATGAAATTTATGGAGGAAGAGGAGGTGTGACAGAAGGATACATTTATGGAGGAAGAGGAGGTGAGAGAGGGATGAAGTTATGAATGAGGAAGTGGAGGTGAGAGAGGGATGAAATCATGGAGGAAGAGGAGGTGAGAGAGGGATAAAGTTATGGGGGAGGTAGAGGAGGTGAGAGAGGGATGAAATTATGGAGGAAGAGGAGGTGTGACAGAAGGATACATTTATGGGGGAAGTAGAGGAGGTGAGAGAGGGATGAAGTTATTGAGGAAGAGGAGGTGAGAGAGGGATGAAATTATGGAGGAAGAGGAGGTGGTAAGAGAAGGATACATTTATGGGGGAAGTAGAGGAGGTGAGAGAGGGATAAAGTGATGGAGGAGGAAGAGGGATGAAGTTATGGAGAAGGAAGAGGAGATAAGAGAGGGAGGAAGTTATGGAGAAGGAAGAGGAGATAAGAGATTGAGAGAGGGATGAAGTTATTGAGGAAGAGGAGGTGAGAGAGGGATGAAATTATGGAGGAAGAGGAGGTGGTAAGAGAAGGATACATTTATGGGGGAAGTAGAGGAGGTGAGAGAGGGATAAAGTGATGGAGGAGGAAGAGGGATGAAGTTATGGAGAAGGAAGAGGAGATAAGAGAGGGAGGAAGTTATGGAGAAGGAAGAGGAGATAAGAGAGGGAGGAAGTTATGGAGAAGGAAGAGGAGATAAGAGAGGGATGAATGTTTGGAGAAGGAAGAGGAGATAAGAGAGGGAGGTAGTTATGGAGAAGGAAGAGGAGATAAGAGAGGGATGAAGGTTTGGAGAAGGAAGAGGAGATAAGAGAGGGATGAAGGTTTGGAGAAGGAAGGGAAAGTAAGAGAGGCATAAGGTTATAGAGGAAAGTGGGAGTTTACATATGCAGAACAAATATATAAGCTGCAATTTTAGAGTAATCACCTGGAGGAAAAGTATTAAAAAATAAAAAAATAGAAATGTCATAATAGAGGTAAATGATGAGAGTGACATAAATGGTTGTCTCTCACAGACGCACCTAAAACAGGAAGAAATAACAACACACATTCCCCTAGACACCGCCTGTCCTCCCTTGTATGGGTCAGTGTTGTGTCACTGTGATGTCTCTGCTGGAGGGAGAGCTCCACCCTGCTCTTCAGCCCGCTAAATCTGATTAATGTCTCTATGTCCCAGAGAGGAAAGGGAGACGTTATGAGTTGTGCAGTTCAATAAGATTACCTTCAAAATATAAAATCAACTCTGCACAGCTTACACATTCTGGATCTATGGACTAATTTAGTTAGAGGTATAATGCTGAACAGCTTCCAACCCTGTGGTGGCCCTAAAAGTCTGGAAAGGTAAGGGCCAAAGGAATTACATTGCTCACAGGACTTCTCAAAAAAAAAAAAAAATCAAAGCTATAGTGAAGAAATGATAAAGCTTCATCTAGTCGCTTCTTGGTAGCAGAACGTTGCAAAGAGCTGTGCAATGGAGCTTTCGTCAATCCCTCCTTTGTTGTTTCATGCAAGTAATTTACAATTTGCACTTCAAGTTTATTTTTCTTACTTTCTGTGTGTTTCATGTGCTCCCCTTACACAATTTTTAAAGCACTAGACTAGCTTGTCTGAATGAATTCATCCTCGTATTGATTAAAGGAAACCAAACATCGGAGAAATACAATGAGGGGAATTCATCAAAACTGGAGCAGACAAAATCTGGAGCAGCTGTGCACAGCAACCAATCAGCTTCTCTCTTCAGTTTGTTCAGTTAAGATTTGAAAATGAAAGAGAGAAGCTGATTGGCTGCTATGCACAGCTGCTCCAGATTTGGTCTGCTCCAGTTTTGATAAATTCCCCTCAATGCCTATTACTGGGGACTTGTATCTGAAAACTTCAGGTAGATAAGAAAGGCAGATTGAAGCCATTGACTCACAAAATGTACTAAAAGCTGTTATTCAGCATGACAGTCAAGCAACTAGCATTTTCAAAAAAGAGGTTTACATATAGGAATTTGGGATTGTCTGTTAAAAACTATGTGGAGGTCAGGTCTAGTTACTTGTTTACTTGTCTCAGAGAGCACTAATCCATCAATTGTTGTAAAGTCAACTGTTTTTACATTTCGCACTACAAAATGGAGAAAGTAGTCTTCTATTGGTGTGGATGAAGCACTTAAACCTGATTAACGGGGTAAATAATAAAACAAAAAGAAATACAGGAGCGCCTGATTGGAAGCTTAATGTTAGGCTATACGCAGTGGGATCTAAATGGACGCGTGTCCATTTACTTCCAGTTACCCCCCGGCTCCAGCCAGGTCTGGAAAAACAAATGGATCATAGTCCTGTTTGCCCAGACCAGATTGTGCTGGATCGGGGGTAATCTGATGTAAACGGTCCATGGGGAATCGGATGTAAATAAACTTGTGTCCAACATGGGGTCCGGTAATCTCATTTTCAAAACTGGACGGACACAGATGTCACAACGGTGCCATCGGCTCTGATCAGCAGGGAATCCATGCACGGATCCCCTCCTGATTGGACCGTGTGAAAGGGGCCTAACTTATCTATAGGTTTTATTTTAAAACATTTACCTAAAATCCCCAATTATTCACCTGAATCCGTGGTCCTGTGGCAGGCCTGGTCCAAGGTCTTACATAATCAGATTAGTATTATGGGAGTGTTCTTTTTGCCATGGCCATGTCGCTCCCTGTTGACATGGACTCTGCCTAATCAGATGAGTCCATTGGTGGGATCCTCAAAGGGCCCTGAAGACTATCAGTGGTGGCATCATGATGCCAGGGGTCTGTGGGCCTGAAATGCAGCAACACATCACCGGTCTCCATTACAGAAATGCCACAAGACAGCAGACTCCGGTAAGGAAAATTGTATTTTCCTTCAAATAGGAGAATGGATATGGAGGCGGGGCAATCGAGAGGTTTGTTTTGTCCAAATTTTGGATGTCGATGACAATAACCAATGGATGCCTTATTTGTAGCTCATCTCATAACCCACTATGGCTTTGTTTAGTTGACATAAATTATAGATCCCTACCTTGGGTGGCATATGTATATCCTGTAGGAGCATGAGAGGAAGGGAGCAAGGGCGGGCCTTAGCCCACCCCGACCAGAAAATTTTAAGATGTTCAAAATTAAAATCTACTGTAATAGTTGTTTTTCGGCCACATTGTTTTTTGTTGTGTCTTTGTCCCGTAGCTCTTGTAGGGCTGTCTTATGTTGACAGGCTGTTTTATAATATACTATAATAGGGATTATCTAGCAATTTGGTCTCGACTGTTCTTATATACTCTCCTGGCAGGATAAAGGGATGTCCGACAATATTCTTGGTTTTCAACCCCCTGTTGAGTAACTACTACACCTCAAGATAAGGAGGTGTGACGTAGGTATATTTATAGGGGGAAAATATGAACAGCTCCTTTACTGCCGGAGTTTGGAGCGGGAAGCTGGGCATGGGGCCAGCTTTAGCCGAAATAAAAAGCGCTAAGCGTATGCTATCAGTCGAGACCAGATACTATTTAATGTGTAATCAATAGAGATGGAATAATAAGGTATCCCTCTTAGATGAAGACTGTCCTAAAACATTGTTTAATGTTGTAGATGTTTTTTTGTTTTTTGTATATGTCTGGATGAAAACAATAAAAATGTTTGAAAGTAAATTATAGATCCCTCAAACTTTTGTATTGTAAGGAAACAGTGTGGCAAAACCTGTAATTCATCTTTAATCTGATAGATGACTATAGAAAAAATGTAGATTTTTATTTTACACATCCTGATAAATGAGACCATTATTTAAAAAAAAAAACAACAACAGGAAACCTACTTCTCCAGCAGAGTAAGGGCCGTCGTTGGGTTGACACGCAGATATTTACAGTTCGGTTGTCCATAGTCGGCCAAGTAGGTTGACCAGTCCCATTTGATAAAAAGATCCAGCAACTGTGGAGAAAGAGGAAATTGATATTCAGAGGCTGGCGTTCGTGTTCTGTAAATGGTGAATAATGCAACATGCAAACAGAAATGTGCAAAAGCTGTAAAACTGGCCGTACATGTGGGCATACTTCAGTCAAATCCAACCACTTTTGAGCCACCGGGAATCTTTTTTTTATATTCTTTATTTGTAAGCACAAGAAGACAGAGATCCAGTCGCCCGAAGGCTGCACATATGCATATAACAGCAAGAAAATTAACCAAACTAGCATAGCCGTTACCGAGCTGGTGTATTCTCAGCCATAGCCACCGGGAATCTTAGTAAATCGCCAGGAGCTAAGCAATCTACCACCCAGGGATACAAAACGTAGCAATAAATTGCCATCATGGATACCATCTATTGATAGGTCAGAAAGGAATTAAATCAAACAGGGGAAAAAGGGAAATTTTGTCAAATTGGCAAAATGTTCACCCCCATCTCCTTGCGGTCATTCAAAACCACCATTTTCTGTCTTGTAAAGGAGAACTATGAGGGGGTGCTTTTCACTCACCTCATAGTTCTAGCCGACCTGTGGCAATGAGACTGTCACAGGTCGGCTCAGTAGATCGGGAGGTGAGCGAACACATACCGGCGTTCGCTCACTTCTCGATCCAGTCGCAGCTCTCTGCCGTGACAGGGGACTGGATGTATTCCCCCCTCCGATCCTCCAGCGCTGACTGGCGGAACGGACGGGGGAGAGGGCAGGTACAGCTGGCTCTGCCTCTAGATAGGCAGAGCCAGCTGTCACTCAGCTGTAGCTCCCTATATACTGAGCTTAGGGTGACGGGAGGACGCTAGTTTGTGTCCTCCTGTTACCCTAAGGAGAACTATGGGGAAAACGCCTGACCCCATAGTTCTCCTTTAATATTGAACACATTGTCATGCGTATGGCCAGCTATAGACTGTTCCATTGGGGTTACAAAAGACAAAAAAGGTTTTGGTGGACAAATCCTGAGTGTTTGGTGCTACACCCCTAGTATGGTCCAAAAAAATAGAGAAGGAAAGTGGGGCTTTAATGGCACCAGGCGAAGTCCAATAAGTCACACAATTACTTAATTAAAAATATTGTTTTATTTAGTACAAAATGTAAAAAAGAAGAAAAATGGCCATGATTAAAATCTCAAAGTGCATCATATTAGAATCGAAACAGACCTCCAGCAACCACTCGGTTCCATGATCCGGACACATATAACATGATTTGAAATAATAAATATTAAAATTGATAGTGATGATAATACATACGTTAGTCACACATGATACATATCAAAATCAATCCCTAAAATTCATGTATAGGCCTTATCTGGAACCAATAGAGTGGATGATATTCAATTCTCTATGCGTTTCACGCATATAGTGCTTCGTCAGGAGAAGGAGGTAATCATCCCAAATGCGGAGCCAGTAAATGCACACGCGATGTGAGAGGTAGGACAGGACGGAGAGGTAGGTGCCCCCAGGTATAGGGAGATGGAAAACAAGGCCAAAGCAACTGTGCTGAGGGGAACTTTCGTTGGTCATATGGTGGAGGAGGGAGAGGTACCTCAGATCGACACCTCCATCTAGTCCAACCGCTGAAAGGGAGAGCTACACCTCAGAGTCGACCACGCTACCATCTCACGTGAGTGCCGCCAGTGTGTGCCGGACCGTCCGTCTCCAGCTGCACACAATTTTTTTTGTACATTGGGGAAGTTCACAGAGATTTTATGTAGGATTATGAACCATTTAAAAAATGAATAATAGGACGTAGGAGGTAGACCCTGTGAGTACTTATTAATCCAGAATGTCAGGGTCAGATCATGCTTTCCAGCCATTTTGTTACACACTGCAACCTCCAGCTGACATCATATGGCAATGACACCTTGCTGGAAGCCTCTGCTGAATATTCCACCTAAACTTTTCACCTTTGAACCGAAAAACTTAATAAAATGCGAGTGTGCAGGCATTCGAGAGTCACGGGTGTTTTCAGCATTTCAGTCTGTACCTTCTGGGGAAGATTCCAAAACGAAATATGCAAATACCATCAATTCTTTTAAGCCGGCCGTCTGCAGCGATTCGGGGCCATGCATCAAACGTGACAGGACACACACTCACAGAAAAATGTATTTACCAAAATCCTATTTGAGTGCGGGATTAACATAGCAGTTGTGGCTGGGCGGATGTCAGCTGGTGTCAATCACGCGGGGAAATGTCAAAGTGCGAGGTAGGGAGGGGGCGCGCTTCATCTTAAGCAGATCATTAACGGATGATTTAATTGTGCGTGGCGACACTTGATCTGCCAAAGGGCGGCTTAAGTGACGGCAATGATTGGCTGCAGCGCCTGTAAAGCCTGCACTGGGTCTAGAAATGACAAATGGGGGTCACTACAATAGATGGTCGGTTTGAAGACTAAAATACTCATTTTGGATCAGGTCTGGCCTCCTTATAATTCTCTACTTTATGTGCAGAGATGTAAACTCACTGCTGATGGAAAAACACTTCCTTCCACCCTTATTATGTACTTTTGTTTTTTTTACATTGTTTATTATGTGGTAGTGTTACAGTAACCATAGGTGAAAAGAGTAATGCGTGTAAGTGAAGACTTCATGTAGGAGAAGCTTTTGACCTTCACCTTCCCCTTTGAAGGAACTTGCTTGTCTTATGGCAAGCCCAAAGACAAGGCCTTCTTATTACAATAGGACTTTCCTCCAGCTCCTTATCATAAATTGCTGCTTTAAAAGGAGAACTATGGGGTCAGGGCTTTTCCCCATAGTTCTCCTTAGGGTAATGGGAGGACACAAACTAGCGTCCTCCCGTCACCCTAAGCTCAGTAGCTGTAGCTCGCGGTATACTGAGAAGTCGATGTCGAGATCCGCCCAGCTGCGTGAGTGACAGCTAGCTCTGCCTATCTAGAGGCAGAGCCAGCTGTACCTGCCCCCCTCCCCCGTCCGATCCGCCAGTCAGCGCTGGCGGATCGGAGCGGGGGGCGAATCCAGCCCCTCCCCTGTCACGGCAGAGAGCCGTGACAGAATCGAGAGGTGAGCGAACGCGGGCATATGTTCGCTCACCTCCCGATCTACTGAGCCGACCTGTGACAGTCTCATTGTCACAGGTCGGCTAGAACTATGAGGTGAGTGAAAAGCACTCACCCCATAGTTCTCCTTTAAGTGGAAAAATATACTTGCCTTGTATCCCCAACGTCCACACTGTAGAAGGTGACATTCCCCCGAAAAGTTCAAGTGTCCCATATCTTGCAAAAAGATACTCCATTACAGCGCTGGCATGTCTTCTTGCAAGATGTGGGATCCTCATTGCTCCAGGGGTCTCCCCAGAAGAACCGTGACATTACCCCAAGAGCTGATGGTAAGATACATATACAGTGGTACCTCGGTTCACCAACGCTTCTGTTCACAAACAATTCGCGAACAGGAAGTTCATCAAAGTTTTGCTTTTGTTTGCGAACTCCGCATCGGGCGACAAACACAACCGCAGCCATCTTCCCCGCTCTGACACATGGTCGTGGCTTCCTCTAGTGGAGATCGCGGTCTGATCACAGTTTGATTTGGTTCACGACCAATTCAGTTCACGACCAGAATCGTGGAACAAATTAAGTTCATGAACCGAGGTACCACTGTATTTTCTCACCTTTTTTCCCGCACTTCAATTCAGTAATTTGAGTTGAGGGATGAAGGCGTCGTGATTGAACAAGCAGACCTTGAAATGAAAGGGAACCTGTGCTTTGTCCATGGAGGGTGAAGCAACCAGCTCACTGGTCTCTCCCGGCAGTCAGCGCTCACCTCTCTGCCCTCCATTCCAGGTGGTACAATGTCCCCTCAGCATACTCATGTCTAATCCAGACCTATGGAACATGCAATACAAGTAATGACGCCAGCGCTCCTTAGACTGCCGGAGTGCAGGGGAGAAGAGGCTGCAGGGACCAATCTAGCAGCGTGGCGGGATTAGGGGATCAGGTAAGTAAAAGTGCTTTTTCCTATCCCCTAGGCATAAATGAGCACCTAACCCTTGACGTGTGGGAGAGGATCTACTGCAAGGGTAATTGTTTGGTTTGCCAGAGATGTCCTTTAATCATACACTGGCCTTATAAATATAGAGGTTTAAAACTGAACGCGCGGCAACTGATAAGTGTGCTGAGATTTACGTGCAGTAACAGAGGAACTGAACGTGATCAGAAGAGTTAAAGGAGAACTATGAGGTGAGTGAAAATCACTCATAGTTAGAGCCGCCGTGTGATCATGAAACTGTCACACGTCGACTCGATAGACCGGGAAGTGAGAGAACACATACCGTCGCTCGCTCACTTCCCGATCATCTCCCTGCAGAGAGCAGTGACTGTCGCTCACGGCTCCCTGCAGGGATTCCGCCCTCCCCTCTCCGATCCTTCAGCGCCGACTGGAGGAACGGACTGAGGAGGGGGCGGGTACAGCTGGCTCTGCCTCTAGATAGGCAGAGCCAGCTGTCAATAAGCCAGCTGGGTGGATCTCGACAGTATATAGCCCGCTATATACTGAGCTTTGGGTCACGGGAGGTTAGTATATGTCCTCCCACAACCCTAAAGAGAACTATGGGATAAAAAGGCTAGCTCTCTTTTAAAGGTTAATTTTACTTTTCCTGGCTCGCGGCGACCCACTGAACACGGGGTCACGACCCACCAGTTGAGAACCAAGGCTTCAGGGGATCAAAAAAAAATGGCAGCGGTCACGCGGGGAGTTCCTGAACATGCAGGACCCTAAGGCCTGGTTCACACCTACTCTAGCGCTGGCTTCATTGGCACCGCTGATTCTCTGCCGCAGCTCTTCAGGTACCCCCTTATGCCACCACCGGCCCTGGCAATGGTCACAACTAGGTCTTATTTTTCGGGGTAGGTCTTATTTTCGGGGAAACAGGGTAGGAGTTTTTGAGCAGTTCGAAAAGCGCTTGTAAATGCCCAAAACACAAGAAATCCCGTGATTTTCAATGGACTGGTTCACACCTGAGC